AATGATTTTGTCTCTTGTCCAGAAGTTTATTCATGCTATTGAAACAACTGAGCTCCTTTTTACTGAATGTCTTTGCTGATTTGGGGCACTGTGCCCAAAGGAAATGTGACTGTTTCCATTTGCAAATGCCATTTTGCTTCATGAATTTCATTTATGTCCCCTCTTTCCCCCAGGACTTCACACACTGAACCTTTGTGATCATGTGTAGGTCAGTTTATTCCTGATTACCACTCTAACAGAAGAAAGCTGGGACATGTTGGGGATGCCTAGAGGGAATCATCAAGGTGAGCAGGCTGTAAATGACACTTTAGCTGACCCACAGACAGGTCACAAATTTTTGTCACACAACTAAATCATGTTCTTTCCCAGAGCAAAAATCCAGGGAACAGGTTTCAGCTCTTTTATAATCATGTGGAGTATCTTGAAGGGAAAGCTTGAATTTTTTATGAACTCTCCCATTTATTTATAGCTGCCTATAAAACAAAAGAAAACAATGGCACTAGTGTTGATTATTTTATTAGAAATAAGTAAAAATTCAAGCCAAATTTACACACAAATTTAGCTACTCTGCTTTCATCCCTGCATAAAAGTTCTGTCTACTCAAAGGAAAAAAAAATGCTTTAATGAGGAACATGTATATTTGCACTGAAAGATCGTCACAAATCTTCCCAGTACAACAAATCTTCCCAGGGACTGCTCTAGATATTTCTGTAAAAGATCAGCTCAAAAAAAAAAAAAAAGCATAAAATGGAATAAGAGGAGCCTTATTTTAAGACTGTTAAAATACTTAGGCCAGTAACTATTTGCCTGTGATTTTTGTCAGCATTCAAGTATCATAAAAATGATGTACATGCAATATTTGCATTTGTTATATAGTGATATTTTTATCTTTGGATCTTAGTAATATGAGAATTGATATCTTAATTTATAATCACCAGAAACTCCCTCTATAAAAATATAACCACAGGCTGTGCTGTTGTTATATATAGTTTAATCTATATATATATATATGATATATCACTTACATTGCGGAGACATTGTTGCATGGAAAGATTCAGGGTATTCTGGCCTTATTAACAGTGCTCGGATGCTGTAACGCTACCTGCCTCTGGCACGGGATGAGTCAGATCCTGCCCATACCCATCTCTTCAAAAAGCTCCTTTGGAAGTCAATGGGACACTTGCCTGATTCACAGAGCAAGGCCAGGCTTTCCGTTATCTGGGAATCACACAGACTCAGACTCATTTCCTCCAGGATCCCAACTGCTTGATTAAAGGTATCAGCCAGGAATTTGGAAACTTCTCTGTTCTCATATCTATTGCATCTCCTGTGATCAAGGGGTGGACAAACCTATTAACTGCAGCCTCCATGCAGCACCCAGAGCAAGTGTTTGAAAATAGGTGTTTGTTAGTTTCCCCAGGGCAAAGCTGATGAGAATGCTTTTGCAGTGGGCTTTCTGCACAGTTTGCAAGATGGTGTAACACTATTGTTAGCTGGAAAGCAAATGATGATTCTCCCATTATGCTCATAGTAAATTAGGAGTTAGCCACCTAGAAGGATAGACCTGCAGAAGAGAGCACCTGCTAAAGAGACAGACTTATGCAGAGAACGACTCAGACATGTATGAGACTAAAAAAACAGTCATATTTCATTGGAACTCTCTTCTTCAGAAAGGTTCTTGAATGAATTGCTCTGAAAAGACTCCTGCTGACACCGGATAAAATGTTACCAAGAATCAAAGTCTCAGAAGGAGATGGCAGAAGTCTTTCTGTCCTGCCTAACCTCTGCATTTTGGACACTCGCACTGATGAAAGAAATTTTGTGTCTTTGTCTGACTTGAGCAGAACGTGAAATCTTCAATTTTTCAGAACATTTTTCTCGTTCGGATCACTTTAAATGATCAAAGGAGGAAGGCTGCGAATCCATGAAACGAACTTAACAGCAAACATCATTATTTTGAGTCTTAACAGTTGAGAACAGCTTTGGCTGCTCCAGAATCTGTTTAGCGTTGGTTTT